CTTTTAATATTGCATGAGGCAGCACTATACTGATTATTTTATGAAACTTAGAATCAATACGATGCTGTCTTATGTGATTATTTTATAATATTTTATTATTATTATTTTTTATGTTGGTTTATTTTTTATTTTAATTACTAGTCTATTACCTGTGCTATGCATGGGTAGTTATAAAAATTGTGATATTAATTTAAATTTATATGTTAGATAATAAATTTTATTTTGACAATAAAACTTTGTATAAAGATAGCTAAAATTAATTTATATAAAAAATATGGGAAATAAACCAAATAAAGAATACTAAGTAAGCGAATCAAAATTTCATAAATATATATATTTCAATTTAAACCAAACATAATAGAGATAAAAAATCATTATTCATAATCATTCTTAAATTAAAAATAAAAATAAATTTGAAAAAAATTTGTCGTCATTTATACATAATTGTTAGCCTTCAGTTGAAAACAATTTTCAAACAACATACTAAATTATATATATAGTAACGAAATGAAAAACACACAAATAATATTAAATAAGTAAATTATAAATCAAATAAAACTTATACTCCCCCCGTCTCATAAGTAAATATTCATTTGCATTTTGCACGTAGTTTTAGAAATATTAGTATTATATTAGAATATAGTAGGAATAAAGTAGAAATTACTAAAATAACATTATTAGTATGTGTGATATAAAGGTAACGATATTTGTGTAATATATTATAAGTTGTAAGGGTATTTGTAATATTGATTAGACAGTACAGTTACTAAAAAAGAAAATGGATACTTTGTTATGGGACGGACTAAAATGGAAAAATGGATACTTTGTTATGGGACAAAGGGAATATATCATTTTAAATTCAAACTTAAGTTAAATTTAAAATATTTATTTACAATTTTATTAAATGAAACATTATAATAAGTTTTGAAATAAATTCATATCTATTGATTAAAAAAAAAAATCCTTAATTTTCTTATAGCATTTTCTCTTTCATCGACAGTTTGAAAAAAAACTTTAAATAATATATATATATATAAATACACTAACAAAACTAAAAAAAAAAATATTGCAGAATATTAAGTAATAAAAAATCATAAATTACAAAATTCATATTTCAAGTGAAATCAAATATAAGTTAGATTAAAAATAGTTATTAACAATTTATATTAGATAAAAATAAAATACTCAAAATTTGAATATAGTATCAATTTTTCAACAAAAATAAAAATAAAAAAATATACGTATTAGAATAGTAATATTCTAAACCAAATTAATTAGAAAAAAATACATATAAAATAAAAATAAATAAAAATTTATTAGTAAAAAATAAAAAAATAAAAAAATAAAAGAATGCATACAAAATAAAAATGAAGTACAAAAATAAAAATATAGTAATTTTTATAAATTACTAAAATTTACCTTAATTTTCTGTATGAATTTCTCTAATAATAATAAAATACTCAAAATTTAAATATAATCTATAAAATTAGGGGAAAAAATATTTTAATATAATATTCAAAACCAAATCAATTAAAAATACTACTATTAAATAAAAATAAATGAAAAATTAATTAGTAGAAAATAAAAATAACACAATGTATAATTAAAAAATGCATAGATAATAAAAATAAAAGTAATAAAATAAAATATATATATATATATATTAAAATTTACTATAAATTTCTGTACGGTTTCTTTAAATATTCTTTTGAATCAAAATATTACAAATTTAAACATAATCTAAAATATTAAAAAAATATATACTATAATATAATAATCGAAATCAAATCAATTAGAAAAAACAAATACTCAATAACAATATAAAAATATATTTTATAGTAGAAAAATAAGAATAAGACAATAGATAATTTAAAGAAACTATATACTATAATAATGGAGTATTAGAACATTATACTCGAAAATAAATAATTAGTAAATAAATACAAAATAAAAAAAATAATCGATTAGTAGAAAATTAAAAATAATTATTAATATTATTATACATAATAAAATAAAATAAATAAACAGAAAGATAAAAAAACTACTATACGTGATTTATTTTTCTTTCTACTTCTCTTTCTTTCTCTTTTATTTTTTTTCTTCTCATTCTTTTTTCTTTCTTTTTTTTTTTTATTTTTTGAGATTTATCTTTTGCATCATAGTATGGATAAAAAGAATTTATTAGTAAAATTTTTTCGTATAATCAACCTAAAATTTATAAGTCAAAAAAAAAATTTACTATAAAATTTTCACTATATAAATAATGATACAAAATTATATGCATAAATAATATATAAAAGAGATAATGATATTTTTTTTTTTCATGTGGAAAATCTTTCACTCTTTTTGAACGATAACAAATTATATGCGTAAATAAAATAGTAAAGAAAAAGATAATTTTTCACGTGGAAACCCTTCAAGGTAAAAAAAATAAAAAAATCACGAGTTGTCCAAACCAAAAGTAAAAAATTCACAATAATAAAATAAAATATAAGAGTTTTTAAGAATACATATAAACATGTTCGATCATCATTAAATCAAGCAACGAAAATTATATATTTAAGAAAAATAAAGATCAAGAAAACAAATTTAAAAATTTTGTCATGTTATGTAAATTTCGGGTCGAACTACATATATCCAATCAATAATCCCACAAATTGAAAACACAACGAATTACGAAAACTTCTTGAAAATTTCTGATTGATCCAACGGTCAATAAAGCGGGATCGTCGTTTTTCTGAATCTGCGCAGTATTGGACGAAAATCTCATAATAATTTATTTTTTTCAGCGATTGGCTTAATCTTTTAGATATATAGATATTCGAAACCCTAATTTTATTTATATTTTTATTAATTATTACCTTAATAAATTTTTATTTTGTTAGATTATTTATTATTATAACAACTTTTAATAAATTATCCAAACTTATTATTTAAATAAATAAAATAAAACTTCAAAATTACGAGAATGCACCAATTAAAGCGTCTTATCAAATATATATATATATATATATATGATGTCATGTGCTTTTTATACAAAATTAAATGTGGATTTCACATCTAATGATAATTTTTCATCTTAATTAGTTTATTACATTTCACTTTATTACGGTCGGAATTTTAAGATGAAGATGAAGTAGTATAGTCCACTTTTGTGTCCCACGTTAGCGAAACTCTTTTTTTTTTTTTTTTTTCTTTCTTTCTTTGCGGTGCCAACTACATAAATAATAATAATAAAAAAAGAAGGGACGGGGCTGGACTTGAGAAAAATAATACTCATTCCGTCCCGGTGCAAGATTTTCGTATACTTTTTGCACGTAAATTTTGAATATTAATATTATAATGAGTTATAGTGAAAAAGATAAAAATATTTCTATTAGTATTGTGTAATATATAAGTAATGTCATTTGTGTACCAGTGTAAGTTGGAAGAATATTTATTATGTTGGGTAGACAGTATAATTATTAAATTAGGAAATTGTAACCTTGTTTTGGGACGGACGAAAATAAAAAATGTCAACCTTTCAATTAGGCGGGGGAGTAATAATAATACTATCTCTATCCACCGCGTATTTACCCATTCACTTTTTACGTGTTGATCTTTAAATATTAATTATTATATCACAATATACTACAAATGAAGAAAAATGATAAAAACACTTTTATTAGTGTCTTATAATACTAATATAATGATATTTGTACGATAAATTATACAAATATAACGATATTTTTAATATTAAGTATAATAACATAAAAAATAAATTGGTAGATATGCAGTGGATGGAGGTAGTATAATATTATTTACTTTATTATTTTAATAATAAAAAAATCTTAATTTAACAACAGTTATAAATGTATAAAAATGTAATCTTATTTATGCGTTAATTTTCTTTTCTATTTTTTCTTTTTTTTGATATATGTAATATTAGAAAGTTAAATAATTAAGAAGACAATGAATCAAAGTTTTAATAGTAACATTTAGATTACCTGATATAAATATGCATTGTTCAATGTATGATAAACAAATAGATTATATATTGTTTTTTACTTCTTTAGTCGGAACTTTTTATGTTATATTGTCCGGATACGAAGACTAAGAAATAAGGATAATAAAATTATAGGTGGATAATTTTTTTATTATAGATAAATTATGCATAAATTAACACATAAAAAATTGGCATAATTATCCTGAACAAAAAAATTATTTTATAATTTAATTATATTAAAATGACAGTAAAAAATTAATGAAATTTGACTTTATCTTTGTTCAGATATGTTAAATTTTCTATTGATACGATTTTCAACAAAATTATAATTAAAAAAAGAAATTACTTAAATATCATATATAGACATTATTTTTGCAATATATTTAATCAATAAAATGCATCCATCTCTAATATTAAGAATATTAAAAATTAATCGTGTAAAATATTTTAATTATTCAAATGATTCTCATATTAAAATATTAAAATATTATATATTTAATAACTTTCAACAAAAAAAAAGGGATAGCATAACTGTGAGTCAAATAAGCTTTCTTGGGATACAAGGACAATAATTAATTTTTACAGTTCAGTAAGAGTTATAATTATCGGCTCTCCTTTAATGTATAAATATATTGCTTTGGTTATCGCTCTCCTTTAGTATATAAATATATTGCAACATATATATTATAAATAAAGTAGTACACATTGGCTCAGTTTACCCAATGTTTTTTAATTAAATTATTTTGATGTGTGATATAAAGAATTTTTTTCAAAAATATAAAATATTCTTATTTTAGATAGAATATTTGAATTTTTGATTTATTGTAATGATTTTGTTTGACTTTTTATAATAAATATTTGAATTTGTTATTGTTACGTACGAAATTTAGAATTAGGTTAAAAGCCCAAGGTAAAACGAGGAATGGGCCGGCTATAGGGTTGATTGAACTGGCTGAAGGACACCGTGAGGAAATCAAGGAAAATAAATTTATTTATTTATTGCTAAGAAAAATTCAGGACGGAAGGACCTCAGGTCGGTAGGTCCTCAAGATGAAAGACCTCAAGTCGGAAGGTCTTCAGGTCGGGAGATCCACAAGACGGAAAGACCTCAAGTCGGAAGGTCTTCAGGTCGGGAGATCCACAAGACGGAAAGACCTCAAGTCGGAAGGTCTTCAGGTCGGGAGATCCGCAAGACGGAAAGACCTCAAGTCGGAAGGTTTTCAGGTCGGGAGATCCACAAGACGGAAAGACCTCAAGTCGGAAGGTCTTCAGGTCGGGAGATCCACAAGACGGAAAGACCTCAAGTCGGAAGGTCTTCAGGTCGGGAGATCCACAAGACGGAAAGACTTCAAGTCGGAAGGTCTTCAGGTCGGGAGATCCGCAAGACGGAAAGACTTCAAGTCGGAAGGTCTTCAGGTCGGGAGGTCCGCAAAACGGAAAGTCGTCGAGATGGGATATCCGCAGGTCGGACAAGCGTGGAGGCCTTTGATCAAAGACAGGGGGCGGTTGATATGGAGGTCGGCCCAAGTGGGGTCGGGCGAAGAAGTAGGTCGGACGAAGGACGAAGTCGGGCCAAAAGAGCGGAAGGTCTGTGGTCGGCTCAAGGAGTGAAATATAGGGAATTTTGGTCTGCTGGGGACACGTGTCAGCATAAGAAAGGTTGGAAGACGGTTGAGAAGGAGACGTTGTAACCGTTCGGGTGACGGTTTTCAGTACGGCTTCCCAGGGAATATTTAAGGATTTGGATCATCATTTGGCAAGGGATCTTCAATCAACTTCAACAAAGCAAAGTCAGATTTGGGGATCACCACTTTAAATTTCAGTCTTTTATTTTCCAGTTTATTTTCTGTATCATACAGTGTTTAGAGATTCCTAATCTCAGGCACTAATTAATCAAGTTTAAGGATATTTTCTATATCTTTGAATTTTACTTTATTTTTGTTGAAAAATTACATCAACAAATTGGCGACCACAGTGGGAGCAAGACAAAATTGCTCATTCCAATTCCGGCGATAATTTCATACGTCTTAGATCCGGCCGAATCATCGGAAGGGTCCATATGGCAGGGTCACAACCGCAAGCATCTTCGACACCGGTGGGAGAATCCGTTCCACCACCCATTGTGCCAAATGCCGGGGAAATCCCACAACCACCAACTGATTGGTGGTCTTATGTTCAACAAATGAACAACCAGCATACCTTGGTTATGCAGAATATGTTGCGTGAGCAACAAACGAACATGTTGCGTGAGCAACAGAGTCAGTTGCAGAACATGATAGATCAAGCATTGTCAAGGGTTAGTCTTCAACCCACTCAAACGCCACCAGGAGTGTCACCGTCCAGACCACAGGCAAATTTCGCAGGGCCATCATTCGTGGATAGTACATTCCCAAGTGCCACAAATCCCAACCGAATGGATCGGGGAAAAACTCCTTTGACTTTTCCCAACAATGTTCCACTGGGACCAAGGGTTACCAATTCGCAGCCGAACAATACAAGGGAGGACAGGCTTGAAGGATATATACATGATCCGATTCATATTCCTGTGCAGGATCCGTTCCAGGTTCCTGATCATCAACGCTTTCATGTAGATCCTGATGAGATTGCACATATATTAAGGGATCAGTATGGATTAACTCCTCAGATGGCTAACCGCCCTGCATATCAAAGACCTTTCCCAGAAAGGATCATTCATGAACACCCTCTCCCAAGGAATTTTCGACCACCCGACTTTCATGCATTCTCAGGGGAGGACGGATCTTCCACCATAGAACATGTTGGTCGGTTCACAGCACAATTAGGAGAGGTTGGCAATAACCCTTTTTATAAGTTACAGCTGTTTGGTTTGTCTCTTACCAGAACGGCGTTTTCATGGTTTGTAAGTCTACCTCCTGGACAAATTCAGACATGGGAAGGATTGGAGATGGCATTTCACGCTAGATTCTTTAATCCTTTACCAGTTGTTTCTTTAACTGATTTACTTGAATTGAGACAGTATCCAGAAGAAACTGCTTCACAGTTTATAGAAAGGGTGCGATTGATGAAGGGACGATGTCCTACGGTAATCAGTGAGAAAGAGATGACCAATTTAGTGGTCCGGAATATGCATAATCGTTTAAGAAAGGCACTCACTGCCCTGGATGTTGAGGATTTGGCAAATCTTGCATCCAAGGCAGGACGTCTAGAGTCTTTGTTCAGAGAGGAAGATCAGCATAACAGGCGTAATAGAGGCCAACATATGGCGAGTATGGGAACAGAAACATGCGACTTTGATTTTAATCAGTCAGAAGAGATGGCAGCCGAAATCCTTTCTGGAAAACCGTATGTATGTCCTAAATTGAAGCCAGTACCAGGATCTGAAGGAAAGGAGCAACCGACCTTTGATAGTTCGAAAGCTGATGAAATCTTTGATATCCTACTGACTGATGGGCAGATCCGTATTCCAAAGGGCCAAAGACTTGCCACTAAAGAAGAAATCAAAGGGAGACCATATTGTAAGTGGCATAATTCTTTCACACACACTACAAGTCAGTGTACTCATTTTAGGAAGGAAATTCAAAAAGCCATCAAGACAGGTCGGCTCAAATACATCACTTTAGGTGTAGACCAGCAACCATTTCCGAAAATAACAACTGCAATGGTTGACATCCAACCAAGTTCGGAAACAAGGAAAAGTTCGGTCAATAGTGGACAAACAGGGGAGCAAACTCAGGCAAGTCCCGGAAAAAAGAAAGGGAATCAGCCAAACAGCAGCCGACCGGAAGAACGACTCAAGGTTGTTGAAAGGCCAGTCGCTGAAAAATGGGACCGTCCAGACGGTTCTTTTAATGTGGAAGTGAAGGAAAAGGTTTTAGTGCGAGACCACCCGACCAGAAAAACGGGTTCAGTCGGGAACGATTGGGCTCGAAATAAAAAGCCTTTACCCGTTGATATAGATCCTCGTTTCCCAGGTATGAATCGTACACAGATTCGCAATGCCAAACGCAGGTATGCTGCAAAGTATGGGAAACGAGTTCCTGCAGTGCAACAAAGAACCGACGAACAAAATGCGGCCGACCACTTGACAGGAGATCAGTCCATTAGAGTCTTTACAGAACAAACGACCGACGAGCAGGGAGCGGCCATTCAGTCTCCAATAAGTCGGTCCAGTCGGGTCTGGTCAGGAAAGCAACCGAAGGACGGATTAGGAGCTTCCGACTATACCAAAAGAAGTTCGTCGGGACAGGGGAAAGGTAAAGGAATGGCAGATGAAATAATTAAAGGTTTTAGATGCCAACATTGTGAACGGATCAACATCAATCCATCTCTGGAAGAATTTCGTATTGAATCCTTGACGGTTCAATCTCGAAATGAGACGAAGGAAGAAGTGGTGCCTACAGAGGAAAATTCAAGATCTGTTAAATCTCGTCTGGGACCACGAATCCCTTGTCGAATGACAGAGGTTAACCAGATGAGTGATGAACCGACGTGGGCGAGTCTGGTAGATGATACTATGGACGAACCTTTATGGGCATTCTTGGCAGATGGCGAATTAGAGGAAACAGAGTGGGCAAAGATTACAGATTCTGAGCCTCAGTCGGAAGCACCTTCAATTGTGTTTCCTCCTATTCCAGAGGGTGCGAACTCCCATTTGAAACCCCTGTATGTTAATGCTCACATTTGTGGGAAACCAATCACAAAGGTTTTCGTGGATAATGGAGCAGTCTTTAATGTTATGCCATTGAAGACTCTCAAGAAGCTAGGGAAAGGAATTCATGATCTGTCCCCTGTGGAATTCGAAATGACAAGTTTTACAGGGCAGCCGACCAAGCCTGAAGGTATGATGGTTGCCACAATTGAGGTCGGACCAAAGAAAATTTCCACTGTTTTCTTTATTGTGGACGCAGATACTACATACTCTCTTTTGCTGGGACGAGATTGGATTCATGCCTCTCAATGTGTGCCATCAACCTTGCACCAACAGTTAATGTTCTGGGAAGGAAATCAGGTCTTTAAAATGGAAGCGAATGACAACCCATTCGACGTAACAGAACAAGTGGAAGAGTCAGTGTTTTATTCTAGTCATTTGGCTCCGATGTCTCAGTTGTATATGGCCAGGGAATACCCAAACAAGGGTTATAAAGTCACTGGCCAGAACTCGATGTTCTATTAAAAGAACACCTTTATTGTATGGCTCATGATAAAGCCACACCCATTTCTGTATAAGTTGTTTGTTATGGAAGATACAACTTTAGAAGTATGTAGTTCTCTTATTAATAAGTTCTATTTAAAGCAGTTATTACATAAAGTAGAAAATAATAAAGAGATTCTGGATGTTCACCTCCAAGAAGATGAACAATTTCGTTGGCCCGACTTATTAGAAAAAACAGAACCAACAGCTTCATCACAAGACCCGTTATTGGAGTTTAATTTAGGAACCGAATTGGTTCCAAAAGTGATCAGGTTAAGTGGTTATTTGTCTAAAGAGCAACAAACAATGATGCTTGAAGTTATTAGAAACAACATTGATTGTTTAGCGTGGGATTATTCAGAGATGCCTGGTTTGACAAGAAGTCTAATAGAGCATCGATTGCCCATCAAAGAAGGTTGTAAACCTTACAAACAACCTCCAAGGCGAATGAGTCCAGATCTGATGCCTCAAATCAAGGAAGAAATCCAAAAACTTCTCAAAGTGGGTTTCATTCAACCTTGCCGTTATGCGGAGTGGCTGGCTAATATTGTGCCAGTGGTCAAGAAAAATGGTAAGATAAGGATATGCATCGACTTCAGGGATTTGAATCTAGCTACCCCTAAGGACGAATACGTGATGCCTATGGCCGACATGCTGATAGATGCAGCAGCAGGGCATAAAATCCTTAGTCTGATGGATGGCTATGCAGGTTATAACCAAATATTCTTGGCAGAAGAAGACATTCCTAAGACAGCATTCAGATGCCCAGGGGCTTTGGGTATTTATGAATGGACAGTCATGCCATTCGGGTTAAAGAATGCAGGGGCAACTTACCAAAGAGCCATGAATTCAATCTTTCATGATTTAATTGGCAGATCTATGGAAGTGTATATTGATGATGTTATAGTTAAATCTGCCAGTTTTGACGAACATTTGAGAGATCTTGAAGAGGCATTTGAAAGAATGAAGAAGTACAAGTTGAAGATGAATCCAACCAAATGTGCTTTTGGAATATCAGCCGGGAGCTTTCTAGGATTCTTAGTTCATGAGAGAGGAATTGAAATTGATGCCAATAAGGCTAAAGCCATTCTTGATAGTCGGCCACCCAAGACGGTTACAGAAATCCAAAGTCTGTTGGGTAAGGTGAATTATTTGAGGCGTTTCATTTCTAATGCTGCTGGCAAGGTCAGACCCATTACTAAATTGTTGAAAGCTGGAAAAATTGCCTTTGAATGGGGTCCCGACCAACAAACGGCTTTAGATGCTATCAAGCAGGCATTGGTTCATCCTCCAGTCTTG